TTTAAGTTAGGGTTATGTTAGGTTTAAGTTACAGTAACATTAACTTTAATTTAGGATAATTCTAAGTGTTTAAGGTATTGTTTGGTTGAGGTTAAGATACTATTAGCTTAGCTTTGAGTAATATTTGGTTTAAGTTACAGAAATGTTAGTTTTAGGTGTAATGTCACGTTAAAGTTAGAATATTACTTGTTTTGCTGCCTGCGTAAGCCCCAACTTTGTTACCATTGGGGTTTCTGATAGATGGCAAAGGTTTGGTTAGTACAATGTTGGATTTACATTAGGGCAATGTTAGCTTTTAGTTGGGAGAATGTTAGCTTTAGGTTACAGTAATCAAATAAAACCAAGAAAAACATCAGATACAGAAATGTTTGTGCCACAGCTGAACAACTTTGCAAAATTCATCTGTCTGTGTTTTAGCATCTTTTTCAATAGTTGTCTGTTTCTAATCCGTTTAATATTCATGAGCAGGTTTAATCAAACAGTTTAATTATTGTCTTGGTGTTAATCATTTCTGTTTTGTTAAACGTGTGTAACATATGAGATGACTGACAAACTGTCGGACGCTGGTGATTAATGACGCTCCGTTGTGTGTTCTTAGGCCAAAACCATGACAGGACCCAGGAGAACCCTCCGGCTCTGTCCCGGTCCAGCAGCGAGGGGGGGTCCAACAGGATGTCCCTGAGCTCTGACACTGAGGGTCCCCCCCCAGGACCTCTGCATCCCTCCCTGTCCCGCCGACCCAACCCCGACATCAGCGAGGAGGACGGGGAGGGCGACCCGACTCCCTGCCTGAACGTCCAGAATGGTCTGACCCGCTGCCTCGCCGGTGACAACCAAACAGACACGGACTGTACCAAGTCGGAGGTGCAGGACACAGATGACAGTAACACTGTGGTGGACTGTGCGGCTGCTCGGACTGTACCAAAGAGCGAAGCTGCAGCAGGGTTGAACTACGATTCTGTTAAATACACGCTGGTGGTGGACGAACACGCTCAGCTGGAGCTGGTCAAACTCAAAGATTGTTTCCACGGTTACAACGAGCACAACGACGACAGCGACGCCGAGACCGTCTACCAGTCGGCCAATGAGGACGAAGATCCGGAGTACAAGGAGGAGAGGAAGAAGACCGAGGAGGAGAAGAAGCTAGGTAATGGTGACAACTGATGAAGAATGAATGAATGAATGAATGAATGAATGAATGAATGAATGAATGAATGAATGAATGAATGACCATCACAACACCATGGATTCATACAAGCCAGGACCAGAGTGCAGCATTTACATTCCCAAAGTCCAAACATGTAGACACAACTTAAACATCTTTCACATCAAACAACCTTGATTTAAAAGAGAAAAATAAATAAATAAAGGTGTAGAAGTTACAATAATATATACAATTAGAGCTCCAACTATTTTGATGATTAAACAATCTATTTGCTTATTTTTTTTAAAAACTGAAAATGTCAAATATTTGCTGTTTCTCACTTCTCAAATGTGAGTATCTGATGTTTTTCTTCGTCATGCGTGACACTAAACTGAATCTTTTTTGTTAGTTCTACAAAATAAAACATCAAGACTTTATTTTAGCATGTGGGAAACTATAATACGCATTTCTCACTATTTTCTGACATATTTAAGACAAAATGAATGAAAAAAAATCAATTAGTTGAAGCCTAAACAGAAATATTTGAGTGTGTGTTGAAAAATATTTGACAGGTCTCATGTTTAAGTACTCTTCAGACAGATTTTGTGTTTTATATATAGAGATCAGTGTCATCTGCATATAAACTGATGCGCATATCATTCCTCTGTATAGAGGTGAGTGTCATCTGCATATAAACAGATGTAGAAATCATACCTCTGTATTAAGTTGGAACAACAAAAGAGAAACCAATGGAGGACCCGGTAGTGAGCCTTGAGGAACATCACTGTCCAGATACAGTTAGAGAAAGTTTGTTTCTTGCTGCTCTTAGCTTAACCTCTCCTTGTTTTCTGCTCCAAGAGAGGAGGAAAGAGGAGGAGAAGAGGCGAAAGGAGGAAGAGGAGATGAGGAAGAAGAGGGAGGAAGACATAAAGAGGAGGCGGGAGGAGGAGGTGAAGAGGAGGAGGGAGGTGGTGGCGAGAGTCTGCAAACAGTCCAAGGTGGCGTCGACCACGACTTCAGAGGAGGACGAGGCTAACGGAGGAAGAGCCGGAGCTCCCAAAACCCGAAAGTTCCTCAACCTGTTTGCCAACAACAACAGCAGCCATTACAGCGCCACCGGTGAGCCTGTCCTCCATGAAGTCAGCTTAAATCAGATAATCAGAATAATGTCATTTAAGGTTTACTACAGTAGTGCAGTATTGAGTCAAGACAAACTGATTTTCCATCAGTTGTCTTTTACCATTTGTCTGTTGCTGTTTTTTTTTTTTTCAGGAATTTAGCATAGATGTAAATTATTTTAGTATATTTAATGAAGCCATGCCAAATTTAGTCTCCATTACAAGCCCTTTAAGTACATAAGGGTGGATCAGAAATTCAGAGTTTTCAATTCATGCTGCTCCTCCCAGCATTTTGAGCTCCTTTAACTTAGTTAGTACAGCAGATAGATGTGTGAAATTTTCAGGGCTGAAACACACATTTGATGTCATTGATGACATTTGTTAAAAACTGCAAACAAACCAATGTTATATCACTCCAGGTGTCACAATCTAAAGGCTAAATCTTCGTTTTTGTTCAGCATGACTTTATCTAAAACCAACTTTCAGCATCAGTATCAAGCCTTCATCAGAATATCGTTTTGACACAGAGTGAATCAGGTCTAGCAGATGATCCTGGTATCAAATGTAGGTAAAAATGATCCTTTCATTGTCTAGAACTTGTTCTGACCAATGACCGTCACACATGCTGATATGAGCCTTGAAAGTTTTACCCACAATGCACTTTGTAAAGTTTTCTCTGGTGAACTATCAGACACCAGAAACACATCCAGGATACCAATGATTGCTTCTATGACTCTAGCCAACAAACTGCTGCAGTTTTACTGTTCACACTATGATACATCCCATAATACTGATGCTCAGAGTTGATTTGGTTGCAGTTTTTTAACAGAGCTCAAATGTATTTTTTTCAGCCCGAAACGTTCATGTGTTTATCTGCTGTACTGATGAAGTTATGAGGCAGAAATGCTGGAAAAAGTCATGTGAATTAACCCTCATCGACGTACTTCAAGGGCCTAGAACTCAGAAAATATTCATAGTAAGAAGCTAATATTTAGCACAGCATCAATTAATATATTTAAGTTATTTCTGAGGAGGTCAAGTGGGATTCTTTTCACATTTGGGTGATTTTATATGAAATGACCTTTATGTAACCGGCACAAAAACACGCTGAGCCAGCTGAAAGTTGAGTTCTTCTTCTCAGATGATGCTGCCTGTAGTCAAGCAGCTACAGAACAGGCATCATGTGGGTTTGTCTGGTGCTACTGTTTGTGTTTTAAGTTTTATATGTAAAGCAGTGACTGGATCTGAAGCTCTTCTACTCGTAGCTTCTCCACCAACTGACACTGAGTTATGAGGAGGCTGAATCCCGAACCGAGCCGCTGATTGATTCTGCTCGGCGTGACAGAATAATCGCTCTTTTCAGATCAGATTTTAGGACACTGGATAAATTTACAGGCTGTCTTCAGTCAGCAGCTGTTTAAAGACAAATGACTGCAGCAAAGCTCCTGCAGCGTTTTCCTCCCCAGCAGTAATCATTTATGTTTCACACACTGCACATGTTCTTCTTCATGTTCTGTTGCATATTTTCGACAAATAATAACAGTTTTAGTTTGAAAATGTTTTTAAAAATCAATATTTTAGTCAGCGAGTGCGCCCTCTATTGGCCACTAGTAGCACATCAGTGAACTCCAGCATTTACTGGTTTCTGATCATTTTTTGTTTGTTTTATTTTGTCTATTTTATTTTATTATTATTATTTATTGTCAACATGCTATATGAATAAACCTGATCTGATTCATATCCTTGGTTCTGTGTGGTCCAGGTGCCGGTTCCTTCGGTATGTTCTCTTGTGTTCTGGACGGAGTGGAGCGGCAGCAGAGCCACCGAGCCGTCTACAGGTCAGAACACGCCAACACACCGACTGTAGCGTGTGCATATGAACACGTGAAACCAGAACTGAAGCCTGTCTGTGTTTAGGTTCGTCCCCCGTCACGCAGACGAGCTGTACCTGGAGACGGACGACCCGGTTCTGATGCTGGCCCAGTCTGAGGACCTGTGGTGCCAGGGCTACAACATGAGGACCGGCTCCAGCGGCATCTTCCCCGCCTTCTACGCCGTCAGGGTGCCCAAAGAGATGACCCAGGGTAGGCTGCAGCAGACTCCGCTGTACCAACACAATCCAGCACCGTCGGCAGTAACACGATCTCTGTTCTTTGCTCTTCAGTTCAGACGGACGGCTGCACGGAGCAGTTCATGGTCAGATTTCTGGGTTCAGTTCAGGTTCCCATCCACACCGGCAGCGATGTGCTGTGTGCTGCCATGCAGAAGGTACAAAGATACAGACGCAGTTCAACACACACTGAAAATATTTGAGTATTTATGTGTTGTAACTGAGGATGTCCTGAGTTAATGTTTAGGATTCTGTGAGCCTGATCCTTCGTTTACATCTGCTATCAAACACATGTCCACTCAGAAGAGTATAACGTACTTTAGGGAGCATCAGTTAAAATCAAGTAGCTCTGGTCGGAGGTCATTAATCACCGCAGAAGTCTTTGTCATGCTAAACCCCCACAATGCTCTCTGCTGGTCAACATGGACTTCCTGTAGTCTGAGTGACACCTCCTCTGGTCTCCACACTACTAAACAGTAAGAGGCTCCACCTGGTGGAACAACCAGGTACTACAGCTGATCTGTGATCCTTTTTTTAACATGCATGTAGAGTGTATCATGTAGGGAAAGTGGTATTTGTTTCTTTCTAAGTCTGATCCTTTGTTTATATCTGCTGTCCTACATGTGTCCACTTTAAAGAGTATAAAATGCATTAAAAGCAGCGTTTTGACCTAAAGCGCTCGGGTCAGAGGTCATTAAAAACCACATAAGTCTTTGTCATGGTGCCCATTAATGGCTAAACATTCTCCACATGCAGAGAATACGGGTGTCCTCCGTCTTTTAAAGCTTGTGGAGCAGATTGAGGACTGTATTTGTTTTTGTTCATGCATTGCAGAGCTACTCAGCTGATAAACATAAACACTGGATTGATTTAATATCTTTACTGTACTTGAAGTGTTTTTATAAAGAAAGTCGTATCGGACTGGGGCTCTACATCAGCAGATACTAAATAATAAATGACTCGGCTCAGGGGCAAATACAACTTGATCTGGACTTTCCTTGTGTCCTCCAGGAACCTCTAACAGATTAATTCAGAGATGAAGGAACCTCTAATATGTCTAAAAGGCGTTCCTTATTAAATGTATTTGTCTATATCTGGCTGTATTTATATATATTTAGAATATGTGGGGGATTCAGTTTATGGTAAAGTAATAATGAAGCTGACAGAATTACAATACTTCATTTAAATCTAATATAAAACCACTTAAAAATCACACATAAATGTGCACTAATGACTCTCAGCACTAAAACCAACGTCACTATTTGCGTTCACATTTTATTAAAGAATATCTACAATATTGTTCTGACATTTTTCTTAAGTTTGGATGTAAAAAAAACCCACAATTATAACAATGCTGAGTTCAAAATGGAACCCTGAAGGATTCCTCGAGTCTCTTCTGTTTCCAGGACTTGTACTTTTATGATGATCTTGACGTGGTTCGTGTTCACAGGTGGCCTGTAACCGGCGCTCAGCAGGTCAGCCTCCGTCGGCCTGTGTGCTGGAAGTCAGCGTTAAAGGAGTGAAGATCAGCGTCCAGGACCAGTGTCAGTCTGCTCACCGGGTAAACAGACGCTCCGAGTGCTCGCACAGCTTCAGAAATAACTATTAAACCACCGACGTTTTCTGTGTCGTCCTCTGTGGTTCTCACTCAGTTTTCGTCTTGAGGTTGTTTTGCTAGTTCCAAGTCGGTTCACAGAGTTTTCTGTCTGTCAATAGTGATTTTATTTAAAGCTTAGAATTCCATAAATATGGAAAAAGACAAATAAATATTTACAATTTTATTGTTCAAGATAATCAGCCCATTAATAAATGTAAGAAAGAAAAGGATTTTTTTTCTATTTAATGTTTACTGTTTAGCATTTATCTTTATAGTATTTTATTTTTTATTTTTTGTATTTGAAATTCTGTATTTTCTTTACACTTAATTATCGTTTTCTTCTTCTGAATACAGAAAACTGGTTGACTAATTTTAATTTTTATAATTTAATAAAATCCTTAACAGTTAATCTGCTCGTTTGTATTACTAATATTCCAGGATCACGTGTCTTTGTTGAATTTTCCACTCAGTGTCTTTCTACTGACCATCTTTTCGTGTCTCCATCAGGGTGACCAGTGTTTCCACTTCTTCCAGTTGAAGAACATCTCGTTCTGCGGCTGTCATCCCAAACACAGCAAGTGAGTCCAGATCAGTAAACCAGATCGCCTGATCTACACCTGCATTAGAAGTTATTAGACTATTATTCAGCCTTATTGAGCCCTATCTCGTTTAAAGGATCAGAGTTTTTCCTCCTGCAGCAGGTTTATTCTCAGTAAACACATGCTGCTGCTGTTGTTGTTGCTGCTGCAGGTATTTTGGTTTCATCACCAAACATCCCGACCAGCAGCGCTTCGCCTGCCACGTGCTGATGTCAGAAACAACATTACATCCTCTGGCCGAGTCTGTCGGGTAAGAACTGCTGAGTCACTGATGGTTCATCGGTTCAGCTGAGAAGTGCAGAATTTTATTTTATTTTTTTACAGAATCTGGTGGAAACTGTTTACTGTTTTGTGAATCTTGGTGGTTTTGATTTTTTTTTTTAAATCACAATATTAAGTTTACATTTGAATGAGATTCCTGATTGAACCACATGAATAAACTATCAGAAAGGTGGAAATATATTTTTACAGTTTCTAGCTGATAGATGATGCCATTTTGGACATTTCTTTTAGATTTGGGGTTCAGATGGTTTTTCCAGATTAAATTGCACTGAAACTAATTATAAAGTAACGTCTAAACAAAACAACTAAAACAAAAGCTAAATTACGCTGCTAAATACGCGTAAAATAAACAAATGTGAACTGTTTTATTGTAAAGTGCGTTGCCTGATCGATGAAAATTTCCTTCTCTTGTTCAGTAGATTAATTTATTTGTTTGAATTGAATGTGAACTTACATGTTTTATGAAAAACGGCTTGTTGTGTGAAAATGGTGTGAAAATATTGTCAAGTAGCTCCACTTGACAGTATTTGTACACCACACAGCGGCCTTGTTCCCTCCAAGTAGAAGAAAGAAAATACTCCGTTGCTCCTTTTGAGTAGAACTGCAGTCCGAATGGGTCGTTTTTTTTTCCTTTCGTTTGGCTCTGACGTGTTTCCCGTCTCATTGCTCCCCCAGGAGGGCCTTCCAGCAGTTCTACAAGGAGCACATCGGCTACTCGTGTCCCACCGAAGACATCTTCATCGAGTGACGTCCTCACTGCGAACCTCACTACGTGCATGTGAGCCTGGTTCTGACGCCCGGACTGGACCACCGATATATCTCCTCTGCATGGTGGATTCGTTTCTTTCTGCAGCTGCATCCGGCGGTACGGCGAGCTTCTCCTTCCTACAGCCACGTGTCAGTATCGTGAATACCTCTGTAGATGGACGGGATCAGACGAGAAGCTCCGTAAACCCGTAAACACAAATATCTATTTTATCAGTAAAAAAACAAAACAGACCTATATGTAACTGCACATAGATATTAAACCTCCCTGAAGACCTTCTCCGTCCTGCAAAGCCACAACTCAGTAACTGCACATTTGGTTTTAGCCGAGTTCTGAATCGGACTTTCTGACGTCTTATATCAACATATAAACATCATATTGTCATAGAAACGAGCTACAGCTGCCTGTAAACTAACCTCAGCTGCAGCTAACCGAACAAACACATTTTAATGCTCAGACATGTTTTTATATCCCATAACAATGCAGCAGCGGAAACATGATAGATTTTAAAAAACAACAAGACAAAGAAAAGGTGCTAAAAGCGAACTAGCCCGGCTTAGCAGAGCAGCAGCGATGGTTTGATTTGGTTCAACTGCCTTTAAATCGTATTTCAGGGTTTCTGTTGGTGCAGTTGCTGCTCTGTGACTTTGCAGAGTCGTCATAAAGTTCATTTAACGACGGAACGTTTTAATTCTCGACTCGTGAAACTCGCAGCCGGAGCTCGAATGAGTGATCAGTGACAGTTTGGTAATGATTTAACCGTTTGATCAGTCGGCCACGTTAGCAGCTGTGTGAGTCTGTGCAGCGCCGCGGCGTTTGTTGGTCTGAAGATAAACCAGATGAAGTGACAGGACAAGTTTTCACCGACTTGTTCCTCCTCCGATTGTCGACCGGCATGGATGGTTTATGGAACGGGCCAATTTAATGACCACAAATATCCTCAAATCAACCACAAAGAGACACAAAATTACTGCACAGAGACTCAGAGCAACTGAAAGTGAACAAACAGAGAGATGCAAAACAACTATAAAGTGATTTAAAAAAAAATACAAAGAGACACAATCAGACTACAAAAAGACTCAAAATGACCAAAGAGACACACAACAACTACAACAAGATGGAAATGGACAAGAAAAAGACCAAAGAGACACAAAACGACCACAGAAAAAAGAACAAAGAACAAAGCGTTAAGAAAAAAGAGTACTTACAGCGTCAAAGTAAGGAAAGAGACACCAAAAACCTACAAAAACTGACAAAATAACTATAAAGAGTTGAAAAATCCCTATAAACAGACAAAAACAGAGTACAAAAACCATCAAAATGACAACTACAACAAAAAAAAAACAACTACAAAAAGATGCTAAATGACCACAAAAAGACACGAAACAACCATAATGACACACCAAAAACCTACTAAGACTGACAAAACAACTACAAAGACACACAAAATGACCACAAAGAGACGAAAAAAACACAAAAAAACTTAGAATCACCCAAACGAGTACAAAAAGCATCACAAATAATGACAAATAACTATAAAGAGATGCAAAAATTACTACAAAAAGTTGGAAACAACTACAGAAATCACAACACGACCACCAACAGATGGACCCACGGCGCTAACATGGCTGATAAAAAACATTTAAAGCTTCTGAAATTCTCTGTCAGATCATTTAAAACTTAAAAAACGTCACTTTGACCTCTGAGAACTTGAATTTTTACGTTTGATAAAAACCTCATTAGTCAGTAAAATAACAACCTTCCTGATAAACGACATGTTTTTACGTCACGGTCTGATGAAGGCGCTCGAGTAAAAAAAGGTTTATTTTACAGATTTCTAAATTCTTGGAAACTTTATTTATGATTTGGTAAAAGCTAGTCGATATTTACGGAAGCTGAGAGCGGTCATGGCCGCATATTTTTTTAAACGCCGTTTTCCCGAGAAAATGAGATAATTATCTCTATTATCTATAATTATAATTATTAACGAGATAATTATCTCTATTATCTATAATTATAATTATTAACGAGATCATTATCTCGTTATCTTGAGAAAACGGCGTTCGTTTTCCCGAGATAACGAGGTAATTATCCCGTTGACAGTTCCGGCTGTCACTTCACCTTCATCAGAAGTTGTCGGACTTCCTGGTGTGACGTATCTTATATAGACAGCTGACCGGGAACTCCGACATGACGTGTCATGAGAACAGCTGACCGGTGATGACAGCTTACAATGAAGCGCTCGTGCCCGGTCTGGTCTGTCCTCCGGCCCCCCGCTGGTGACTGAGGATGGAATCCCAGGTGGGGAGGTCCCACACACCTGGGATTCCATCCTGGACCGGGCACGAGCGGGCAAACACAAACACCAATTATCTGGTTTTCACGAGAAAACGATTCTTGTTATCCCGAGATAACGAGATAATTAACTCATTATCTCGAGAAAACGGCGAAGAAAGAACAGTAGCGGAAAACGACCGCTCTCGGCTTCCGTAGATATTTAGCGGTAAATTTCACATATATCTCCAGTTAAATCCTCCTTTTAACTCCAAACTATGTCGGACTTTTGGGGGGAAATGTTGCTAAATAAACAGCAAAATATCAGCTGAGTTTTACTTTATCGTACAGAAAGTTTCTAAAACATTAGATGTGGTTTGTAAGCTCTCTGCAGTCCACTAGTTGCATTCAAATAACAAATCTTTAATGGCGGTTTGCAGACCCGTGACTGTCTGTGTGAGGGTTTGGTGACTAAAATGAGACTTTACAAAAGTGTTCAGAAACGACATTCTGCATGAATTAAAGTCGGATTTGTAGCAGAGTGCAGCTGCTGGCGTGACATTCGTAGGTTTCTACCTTCCTTCAATCACTGCATTATTCATCCTCTGGACCAAAACCACATGTCGAGTTCAAAGGCGACGGATTTGTCACGAGAGTTGCATGTTGAGCTTCAGAAGGTTTCCGGTTGAAGCAATTATTAACACCGACTCCCCTGCAAGGCTTCGATGGAAAAAAAAAAAAAAACCCAAACCGGACCTGCTTGTTTCTTTGCACAGACGAGGACAGATTTTAAAAAAACAAGAGTATAAATGTGTATTTTTAACCCCCCAGACTTTGACAATCTGCTGTTGTTGAGTGTGGAGTCGCTGTGAAGGTGCCTCATTTCTCTTTTTGCTGCTTTACTTTCTTCTTCCAAACGACTACGAGCCCTCCGATGGGGGTTCACGCCGAGGCCCGAAGGACGCCGTGCAATTCAGAGTGTGATGGTGGAGGGTGGTTCACTGTGCAGTCGTGTCCAACCGTGTCCACTTTCAGCTTCCTGTGCGTCGACTGCTCGAATCTGGAGAGTCTGCACCGAGACGCTTTACCCAACGAGACCAAAGTGTTTCTGCTGTTAGAGCTTTGCGAAGGTGATGGAGGTTCTACAGCTGCAGAAATTAAAACAGCAGCTAAAAAAAGCATCCAAGTGATCATACGAGCATCAACTTTGGCAGGTGCATTATGTACAGGCAGCCGCTTTAGAGGATAATGACAAAATGGTGAACATCATGTTTTTGGATTCATTTAACTCCAGTTGATGTGTGAAACCGTTGATGACGAAGGTTCTGCAGCTGCCAAAAGTAAAATAGAGACAGAAAAAATGATCCAAATTGTCACACAAGCGTCACATTTTACAAGTGTATTATGTATAGGCGGCCTGTTTTCTAAAATGGGTTCACTTTTTTCAAGATGGCGGACATTGGTGTCTAATGTTGGATTTTTTTGAATATCTTTTAACTCCGGTTTTTATGGCATTAACATTATTTCATACATTTTTGGCACCTTAGGAACAGAAACTTTCAAAATAAAGTGAAATCACATTACCTCAGAGTCTTACTGGAGAAGCAAATGCCTTTAAGTTTAACTTAACGAGCTAAATGATACCTTTGGGATTGGAAAAACCGCTTGAATTCATCAGGTGCCACAAATAATCAAGAGTTTGCATTAGCAATATATTAATTGTAGTTGAAAAAGTACATATTGACTATATAATAAGTAGCAAAGACGACGGTCAGGAGGCAAAAACACGACCTCTACTACTGCATCCTTTGCATAGAGCATCACTATATTGCTTTACATTAACACCTGTTGTAAAGAAATGTGTAAAACATGCTATAAATGTCCAAGCTATCGTATTCGAACATGCAAATTTGGATTCTACGTGTTAAATTCCATATATTATGACATCAAAACTAAGAAACTCCCTCTACGAGATCATCCTGTGTGCATATTGTAAATGGGGGCCATCTTGAAAAACGGCAGCAATTTTGCAAATTCATGTGACTTCTTTTATGAAAAATCCCTCCTACGGCGGCCAATGTTGGTGCTCGTTCTGAGATTAAACCAGATGCAACGTCGTCGTGATTCAATTTTTTGTTGCATTGAATTTGGCGGAGCTGCAGTTGAGAGTTTATTTAAACAGATTCAATAACACGAGCGCTGCTGACTGTAAACGAACGATCTGAATCAGAGCTTTAATCTAATTTTTGCTGCAGATTCTCAGGTTTCACTCTGACTTGCTGATGAAAATAAGGTCACGTCTGCTGTTTTTACAGAATAACCTCGAGAAGTTCAAAGATGTTGTGAACTATTTGCGCTACAAAACTGGAAATACTAACTAGCTAACAGGCTATTTAGCTAGTTTAACACATGCTAACTAGAGAACACACATACTGTAGTGGTTCATAACTAAATAATTCACTAAACTGGTTCCACATGTGGCAGAAAAACCTCCTCACTTATTTCTCTTCCTGTATTATTGGTCCTGTTTTACTTCTTAATGCACATATTCCAAAAAACTGGACAAATAAAACTGATAGCCTCCGATTAGCCTGGCTGCGGTGAAGTTAGCATCGTTTGTAATGAAACGCATTTCCTTGCGTTGAACACTGGAGGGCGCTGTCTGCAAATTATTATAGTATTATGATGTATGTGGTTAAAGAAGCTAATTGTTTTTGTTTTTCTGCATACAATGGACTCTCAGATTGTTTCAAGCTGCTAAAAGCTACACAGTTAGCAACCAGCATTTAGCAGCTAAAGTCTATGAATTTGTCCAAATGAGCAAACAAAACTTCTTAAACATCGAAGGAAAGTGAGAATTTGAGAGAGAATTAAATTGAAGCCAAAAAAGTCATCTCACAAGCAAATTATTTATAAAAATTTCTACAATTTTGATGATGTTTTCTTTTGTTTACAATACAAGGGATGGTGGAGACCAAACCAGAGCTAAAAACATCAATTTATCAGCTCGTGAAACATGAGAATAGGACAAACAAACAAAAAACAGCTAACAGTTTGAGCGTTCTGATTCCTAGCTAACGATAAATTGAAAATCCAGATCTGAGCAGTCGACGGAAGCGAAGCCCGACATGTTTTGTGTTTGAATCAGTGCCTATTTTCTTTTTTTATTCAGTTCTCTGGTGTCGTGATGACGATGACGACGACGACGGTGATGATGATGTATTAAATGTTCACATGTTCTCCGATCACAGAAGCAGGAACTCGCGTAGCTGGGGATGGTTGCCGTGGAAACAGTGTTATCGAGGAGGGGTCGTTGGTTGCCATGGCAGCCGTCCACCAGAAACGCGTCCTTCCTCCGCGTTTCCTCCTCTGTGATGGCGAGACGACGAGGATCGACTGTACATAAGCCATGGGTATAGAAACATCCTGTATAGAAGCTGTACGTATGTATGTTTGTATAGAGTTATTATTGTATGCCGTCGGTCCGACCAAACCTGGGTGTAACACCGCATGATATCAATGTTGTAAAATGACGACGAGACGCACAGACTGATGCTGATGGTGGTTGTTCTTGTCAATAAATCACGTTTACAACTGCATGTCTGTAAATGATTCTTATATGCTGCCATGTGCACCAGAAAAAAGTATTTAAGGTCCAGCAACAAGGTGTCCGAAAAAATACAACAACCACTTTAGTTTCACCAATTTAACCGATTAATTTACTTTTTAGCTTAAAAGCATAACTTTTAGTCTCATAGTTTTGGTATTTTAAACTGCAATCATCAGATATTTCTTATAGGGTAACAGTAGATTATTCTTATTATTACTTTCAGCGAAATGTTTCATCATTTCATTCATTGTTTTTCGCTACTTTGGCTGTTTGTCCATTGATTTTTACTCATCTTTTTAAGCCTGGTTAAGGATTTTTTTTTCTTTTTCAACCCTTCATTAAGTATTTTTAGTTATTTCAGCTATTTAGTCATTATTTTCGCTAACTTTTTCAAATATTTATTTATTATTTTAGGCCATTTCAGCTGTTTTTTAAAATTATTATTATTTTAAGCTATTTTAGCGGTTTATTCATTTCTTTTGACCAACATTTTGAAGCCTTAATGCAATATTTTAATATTTTTAAACCCTTTCTTCATTATTTTTAGCGGTGTATCCAGTACTTTATGTTAACCTTTTTAAGCCTTTATGTTTTAAAACAAAATTTTTTAAAAAACATTTCAATCATATTTATTTTAGATATTTCCGTTGTTTATCCATTACTTTTAGATATTTTTTCAACACTTAATTATTTTTTAGATGTCAGCTGTTTATTTTTTTTAAAACTAACTTTTACTTTACTTTAACTCTTTGTTGGGTTTTTTTTTTTTTTTTTTTTTTTTTAGCTATTTCAGTTTTCCTGTTTTTCAGTTACTGTAAGTCAACTTTCAAAAATATTTTTTAAACCTTTATTGATTTTTTAAAATTATTTTTTATAGCTATTTCAGCTGTTTATTATTTTTTAACCACTATGTTAGTGGTTTATTAGCAGCAATAATTTTTATATTTTTCAACCCTCTATTCATTATTTTGAGGTATTTCAGTTGTGTAATGATTTTTAGTTAACTTGTTCAGCCTTTTATTCATTATTTTTTAGCTGTTTTAGGTCTTTGTTCATTATTACAACTATTTCAGTAAATCTTTTGTCAACCATTTATCCAGTAGTTTCACCTGCATCTCCACAATTTATTCACTTTTAGCTAGTTGGCTAAAAGGCACAACTTTTACCTTCGTAACTTTAATAATCAATGTTATCATACTTTTTGATGTTTAAATCATTTGTCCATTAATTTCAGCAAAAACCTGTTTTAACTGATTGACTTTAACTATTTACTTCTAGCTCTTTCAGTCCCACAAGTTCTTAATATAAATCAGTTTTATTCTTAATATAAACAAAATGATGCACAATTCAGTCGCGTTTTGTTTCTCGTGTGCGACACAAACNATTACTAGTGGCAGAAGGAGGGTGATGTGTCGTGTTGAACCCACCGATAGTCTGGTTGATGGTTTCGTGTTTAGCCAGACTCATGAGGAAGCTGTAGTACGAGACTTTCTCAGTCTGCTCCAGGATTTCCCTCATGCACGACCTGGAGGGGAAACTGCACACAGACCAACATAAATCCTGTGTTTGTGTCCAGAGTTTGTGTGAACCCGTGTGGCTGTGTCTACCTGTGCTTGAAGCGGTCGCACAGGTCGTCCACGCACTGAGCCAGCATGCTCGGCTCCACGCCGTCCTGCTGCTGCTCCTCCTTGTCGTTCTCCTCCGCCGCCACGGACGGAAGCTGCTCGATGGAGGTGGACGTCGGGACGATGACGGTGTTCGGACTCTTCCCCGCCAACAGGTCCTGGTAGATCACCAGAACACTGTCCAGGAACTCTGCAGACAACAGCAGGTTAAATTCTGTTATTGGGTTTATTTTACCTCTAAAGTGCAAGCAGCACTTTCTGGGTGTTATTTCACTCCTGTCCTCATTGTGGGCTCATTTTTCACTGCAATATAAAGTCCTACAGCTCCATGGAAACAGAACGAAGAAGGAGAGAACCCAGAATGTCTTTTGTATGACATGCCATAAATAAGAAGAATGAAAAATAGTTGCGTTTCAGTTATTTTACAAAAATGGACAAACTTGGAATCAACATGTGCAACTTTTTTCCAAAAGCCACTCTGGAAAAAAGTGGTGACGACATCCATCCAGTGCATGCTCTGCTCATCAGCTGTAGGAAGATGTTCCACCATCAGCTGGATATGTATCGTCCAACAACCTGCTCCTCTGTTCACTGTTTCTGAGCCATGCTGCATTTATTTATTGATCCAGTAGGTTTTGTTTATAATCTCTTCTCTGCTCTGAGGAAACACTGGCTGCAGGAGCTCAGATTTTTTTGTTTTTAACAGAATCTGGTGCAAACACTTTATCTTTGTTTTTCTACACGAGCAGTTTACAGACTATTCTTTCTATTCTTTCTGACACTTTCTGGCTGAAAAATGGCGTCATTTTTGACTATTTATTTAAAAGATAACATGCCTTTATTAACCCGCCTGCAGATTACGGGGTTCACAGAGTTAAGAAAACATCCAGATCCAGATCTTTATAAGCTGAAAGTACAAACTGTATACTCAGCAGATCATCACGTCCTCAGGCTTGTTTCTACGTGCAGCACACACACAGAGCAGCATTAGCATTAGCATCAGCTACTGTTACATAAGCTGGAGTCCTGTTTCCTCCTTGTGCCTGCANATGCACAATTCAGTCGCGTTTTGTTTCTCGTGTGCGACACAAACTGACTCACAAACTCAATTTCATGCAAACAAAACACCTCCAATATTAAACACAGAACACAACAACATAAATACAGTCTTGCGTCACAGTTACATCTTTATTATTCACAGTGTGAGTCACATTAAATCACATATACGGTTCTCAGTACAAAGTCATAAATATCTCAGCGCTATACATACAGGGGAGTAATACTTGCAGTGGTCGTGTCCACCTTAAACATTTGTTTTGAAGCAGCAGGAGGACGTCCAGCGACACAGTGTGACGATGAGCCCGTCGGTTCGGGTGGTTTGCTGAAATCACAGCGTTTCCTCAGCGTTCACAAATGGTTTCAATACAGCAGAATGTAACTTAATACGCGTTTAACCATCAAATCGTGCAGGAAAGTCTGATGGAAAACGAGCAGGGAAGAAGTAAACGTTCACATTTCTGGCTGTTTGTAACGATAACATCAGTTGATGTCATTAAATGAATTGTTTAAAGTCATTTTTCAAGCAGATATTCGGGAACATTTGGCGCCAAACTGCAAAGATTTTGGTCTTTTATGAAGGTGAGAAATTAAATGTTTTAATGCCGTCGATCCAAAAGTGCAGGTTTTAGTGGAAAATCAAGCATTTACTGTTAAATATGACGATATTAATACTATTCTGTACTTAGTGTTTACTAAGCAGCAGCTACTTTACAGGAACTACAACTACGTCACTACTTTTGGTTAAGTTGTGGTGTTTTGTGTAAATGCTGTCAGACTTTAAGGGAAAACTAAATACTGACGATATGAGGCTTCGTGTCAGAACCAGATCTGCTCTTCAGCGGCACATACGAGCGATTTAACAGAATGTGTGGCCTTGTGAGGAAAACGGTGAACCTGCCCTTTAAGAATAACGGCGACGCGTCACCACGAAGCAGGAAGTCAGTTCTCAGAGGAGTCGGTCTCCTCGGTGGATCCGTCGCTCTCCACCTCCATCCTCCTGCGGTGGTGGATGTTCCTGCGGGGGGAAGCCTTCCTCTGGACCTCCTTCAGCGCCCCCACAGCGCTGCCGCTGCTGTTGCTGCCGGGACTCACCGAGATCTGAGCGATTCTGAGGACAGCAGGAGGTTTGTTTCAGGTATTTATACATTTATTCACATGAAGGAGGAGATTCAGGGAGTAACACAGGACAGTAAAGGGGTGTAACGTTGTAAAAGATTCATGGTTTGGGACGTTTTTGGTTGAAGAAATGCAGAAAATTAAGCGTCTGTCATTTATTCGGAAGTCTGTCATTGTTTCTATGTCTTAATCTATGAACTGATGACCTGATTAATCAATAATTTAACTAATTTTTCAAACAAAAATAGCAAAAATGTGATGCTTCCATGTTCAGAAACATGCAAATTTGCTGTTTGTATTCATCCTACATCACTGTAAAAATAAATAATTGGTTAGTGATCTTCTCTTCAAAAGCAAAAACTACTGAACGGCTTTTATTAATTAGCAAAAAGAAGTTTTATTTCCAACCAGTGGTGGAGAAACCTTTAAAGTTTCGCACACAGAGAGTTTGAGCTCAGCGCTGAAGGGAAGTGAGAACTTCTCTGATGAGCACAGACGTTGTAG